TGCTGGATCTCTGTAAATTATTCTTTATTTCAGTCAGTGTATGCTTAATTTCTAGTTGGTCCTTTTTCATGTCCTCCATGGTCTCACTATACTTATTGAGGGATTCATTAAATTTATCGGCGGTTTCCATAAAATTCTTGAAAAACCTTATAAACGTGGCCTTGAACTCTATATCCAATCGTTTGCTTTCCTCCATTTCTGCCATTTGTGACCTGTTTCTTTGTCTCCGCATTTTGGCAGCTTCCCTGTGTTGATAGAGTGGCCCTGCGCGCCAGGTGTCCTGTAGGGCCCAGTAGCTCAGCCTCCCCAGTTACCTGGGGTGGACACTCTTGGTGCACTCTTGGTGCCTTGGTTGTTGTAGAATCACTGGGAGGAATTGACCTCCAGGCCAATTGGCTGTGAGAATCAGCTGTGTCTAAAGTGGGAGAACTTCTGTGCTGAAGACACCCTTCTGGGGCAAGACTTGCTTCAGTGGGGCTTTGGTGCTCACTGAGTCTGCTCCCTGAGTGTGTCCCTTATGGATCTGAGGAGTTGCAGTCTGGATGGTCCCCCTCTGACCACTGGGTAGAGTGGCTCCTGGATCTAAGGAGGTGCTAATTCAGCCTCTGCCTGAGGCCACACAGCAGGAGCCACAAAGAGGCTCAGCTGTGAAGCAATGCAAGCCGCTGCGGGGCCTTGGGCCTTCTCTTGGAAGTTCTGGGTCTGCCTGGCTCGGCTGCAGTTAGGTACATTCACATGCAAAAGCCTCTGCCGCAGCCTGGGTGGGGCGGGGTCTCAGGGAATCAAAGGGCGGATCAAGGAGCTATGGCTGATTCTCTGCCTGGAGTCGCGGGTCTCAGTGACCCGCTAATTGCTGCAAGCACCTCTGAGGGAAATCCGCCTTCAAGTTCGCCTGCTGCCGGACAGACCAGCTTCTCCCCGTATGAGACCTGGGTCCCCAGAGACTTCCCGGAACCGGAGTTCAGAGCAGTCGGGAGCTTGTGATTCAAAAAGACAGCTGCGTCCTCAGGTGCCACCCCCTTTCCTCGCGCGCGCGAGCCGCCGTACCTCTGCACTTCACCTCCGCAGCGCCTCTGGCTCTCAGCGTGCTTTTCTTTCCTTCTAGTTGTAGAATTTACACTCAGCCAGCCTTTCTGTTGTTCTGGATGATGTTTGCTCAGTCCTTTGCGGTAATTTTCAATTGTTGTGTGAGGCAACAATTTCCCGGTGTTTACCTATGCCGCCATCTTAGTTTCTTGATTCTTAGATTCACTTGTTGATAGATGCATGTTTGTTGTTCATAATTTGTATCTTTACCTTTTTCTTCTTCTTCCTCTTCTTAAAGGATACCTTTCAGCATTTCATATAATACTGGTTTGGTGGTGATGAACTCCTTTAGCTTTTCCTTATCTGTGAAGCTCTTTATCTGACCTTCAGTTCTGAATGATAGCTTTGCTGGATAAAGTAATCTTGGTTGTAGGTTCTTGGTATTCATCACTTTGAATATTTCTTGCCATTCCCTTCTGGCCTGCAAAGTTTCTGTTGAGAAATCAGCTGACAGTCTTATGGGTATTCCCTTGTAGGTAACTGGGTTTCTTTCTCTTGCTGCTTTTAAGATTCTCTCTTTGTCTTTTGCTCTTGGCATTTTAATTATGATGTGTCTTGGTGTGGTCCTCTTTGGATTCCTTTTGTTTGGGGTTCTCTGCGCTTCCTGGACCTGTAAGTCTATTTCTTTCACCAGGTAGGGGAAGTTTTCTGTCATTATTTCTTCAAATAGGTTTTCAATATTTTGCTCTCTCTCATCTTCTGGCACCGCTATAATTCTGATGTTGGTATGCTTGAAGCTATCCCAGAGGCTCCTTACACTATCTTTGTATTTTCGGATTCTTTTTTCATTTTGCTTTTCCAGTTGGGTGTTTTTTGCTTCTTCGCATTTCGAATCTTTGACTTGATTCTTGCACTCCTCTGGTCTGCTGTTGGGTGTCTGTACAATATTCTTTATTTCAGTCAGTGTATGCTTAATTTCTAGTTGGTTCTTTATCACAATATCGAGGGTCTCATTAGATTTCTTGAGGATCTCACTACATTTATCGGCGGTCTCACCAGTCTTTTCGAGGGCCTTACTAAGTTTATCGGCAGCTTCTAGACAGTTCTTGAGAGACCTTAAAAGTGTGGTTTTGAGCTCTATATCTTCCATTTCTGACATTTGCGTCCTGTTTCTTTGTCTCCGCATTTTTTTATCTTTTCTTGGTGCACCCCCTAGTGGTCTTTGTGCGCAGTCTTGTTGTAGTTAAGCCTTGATTGTTGTTGGCAATACCAGGGGTGATTTGACCTCCAGGCTAACTGGCTATGAGAGTCAGCTGTGTCTTCAGTGGGAGAGCTTCTGTGCTGGATCTCTAGGGTTGTGCTAATCTAGCATTTGCCTGAGGCTATCTGGCAAATGCTCTGTGCAGGGCTTGGGCGGGGCGGGTCCCCGGGGATCTACAGGGCAGGCCGGATTGAGCAGTTATGGCTGCTCTCAGTTCTGTCCCTAGGGGCTCTGCCTCACAGAGTCCCAGCAACCGCTGCAAACCTCGGAGAGAAAGCTGCCTTCGAGTTCCGACCGAAGCCAGACAGTCCCGCTTCTCCCGTTTGAGTCTGGGTCCCTAGAGACTCGCCCGGATCTGGAGCTCAGAATCTGAGACTCCCTCTCGATTGAAAGCATCAACCGCGCCCTCCGCCGCCAGCCCGCTCCGTGTGCACTCCGTACCTGAGTATTTCACTTCAGCACTGCGCCTCCTCTGAGTCTGGGTATGATATTCTCTTTCCTCCTAGTTGTAGAATTTCCACTCAGCCAGCCTTCCTGTGGTTCTGGATGATGTCCGTTCTGTCTTTTAGGTGTACCCTTGATTGGTTGTTCGAGGCAGCAATCTCCGGCGTTAACCTATACCGCCATCTTGGTTTCTCCCATTTTCTTCCTTTATCTTGTTTTGAAATGAAGATAATACTGGCCTTGTAAAATTGAGCTTGGGAGTTTTTTTCTCTTCTTGAATTTTTTTTGGAATAATTTGAGGATGATAGGTGTTAGTTCTTTAAGTGTTAGGTAAAATTCATCTGTGAAGCCATCCAGTCCAGGACTTTTATTTGTTGGGAGTTTTATTATTATTATTACTGCTTCAATTTCAATAGTTGTAAATCTCTCTATTAAGAGTCTATGATTCTTCCTGACTGAGTTTTGGAATATTGTGTTTCTAGAAATTTATCCATTTAGTTCAGATTGTCCGGTTTGTTGACATATACTTGTTCAAAGTATTTTCGTATAATCCTTTATATTTCTTTGGTGTCAGTTGTTACTTCTCTTCTTTCATTTCTCTCTCTCTCTTTTTTATTTTATTTTATTTTATTTTATTTTTTTAAAATTCTTTATTAGTTAAGGTATTAGAAATGTGTCCTTATCCCTCCCATTAACCCCCCCCCCCACACACACACACATGCTCTCATCCCCCTGTTGTCCATGTCCATTGGTTTGGCTTATATGCATGCCTACAAGTCCTTTGGTTGATCTCTTCCCCTTACCCTCTCCCTCCCCTATTTTCCCTCTGGGGAGTGATAGTCTGATCCCTGATTCTCTGTCTTTGGATCTGTCCCTGTTCATCAGTCTATGTTGTTCTCTATAATCCACAAATGAGTGAGATCATGTGGTATTTATCTTTCTCTGACTGGCTTATTTCACTTAGTATAATGCTCTCCAGTTCCATCCATGCTGTTGCAAAAGTCAAGAGTTCCTTCTTTTTTACTGCAGCATAGTATTCCACTGTGTAGATGTACCACAGTTTTCTAATCCACTCATCTGCTGATGGGCGCTTAGGCTGTTTCCAAATCTTAGCTATGGTTGTCTCTCTTTTTAAATTTGGGTCCTCTATGGGAGCTGGGTGGATTAAGTACTTTTGCTTTTCTGGAAAGGATGTAGAAAAACTTCTCTGTCATTGGTTCTCCCTAGTCCTATGGGTTGGTCTTCTTCAATCTCAGGAATTGGGAGCACTGCTTCTTCCTTTCCCCAAGATGATATATTGAAAAGAGTGGCTATCCTAGAAGATCTCAAACTGTGGTCTCTGTACCAGCAATATAGGGTACACCTAGAAATTTGTTAGAAATGTGGATTCGCTGGCCCTACCTCAGACTCACTAAATCAATCTCTAGGGATGTAGCTTGGGAAACTGTTTTAAGAAGCCCTTCAGAAGATTCCAATTGAGTTCTTTCACTTCTACTGTCCCATCAGCATGCATCCTGGCCTTTCTGCTGTCCTCTCTCACCTTCCCCACCTCTTAGAGCAGTGGTTCTCAACCTTCCTAATGCCGCGACCCTTTGATACAGTTCCTCATGTGGTGGTGACCCCCAATTTCATTGTTACAAATTGAACATAATTAAAGCATAATGATTAATCACAAAACAATATGCAAATATATAGTTGTTTTCCGATGGTCTTAGGCAACCCCTGTGAAAGGGTTATTCGACCCCCAAAGGGGTCACGACCCACAGGTTGAGAACCGCTGTTTAGAGCAAAACATTGCAGGTTCTCCTAATGACTGAGGGCCCATGAACAGGGCTAACCATACCCTCCTGAAGTATCGTCCATTTCCTTGAGAACTTGGCTACTGTGTCTCTAAGTACCCCCTTACACCTCTTCTCCTGTCCCCTGAAGCCACCTCCTACCCCACCCACTCTGTGACCTAACTTGATACCCCCACCCATGTGATCTAGCCTGTGTGGAAGTGAAATTGTAACAATGGAGCAGACACATTCAAGGCCCACTCCTAGAATTGAAAAACAACTGCAAATAAAAAATACGCTAAGAGCGCTGCCAAAGAATATCAATAAGCCAATCAGGAATTAAAAATTTTAAAAAGGGCTGGCTGTTGGTTCAGCTTTAAAGGAGAAAGTTTGGGTCGCAGTCGAGTGTTTCCTTGGATAGCTGGCTGCAGAAGGTTGGTTTGCTGCTCCCACTCCGTGGTGGCCCTTCACGCTGCTCCTCTGCTGGCAGGATGACCCACAAGCAGCTCTACTACTCAGACAAATACTTCGAGGAGCACTCCGAGTACTGGAATGTCATGTTACCCAGAGAACTTTCCCAACACGTACCCAAAACCCATCTGATGTCAGAAGAGGAGTGTAGGAGACTTGGTGTTCAACGGAGTCTTGACTGGGTTCATGACATGATTCATGAGCCAGAGCCTCATATTCTTTTCTTTAGATGACCTCTTCTAAAAGATCAACACAAATGGGGATATCTGGGGACGTCAATTAAATCTTTTTCAAATTTAATGTGTATGTGTATAGAAGGTAGTATTCAGTGAATACTTGAAAAATGTACAAATCATTCATCCATACCTGTGCATGAGCTGTATTCTTCACAGCAACGGAGTTCCGTTAAATGCAACTACAAGTAGGTTACTGTAAGGTGCTTAAGATAAAATTTTTTCTAGTTATTTTTTCTCTTAAATATAAGTACCTGTTTGACTTTACCTGTTACTTTTGTTTAATAAAGTTTGTATGTTGCATTTAAAAAATAAATAAAATGAGAAAGTTTGAGGACCCTTGTGATGTTTAGTCACTCAAGACCCCCTCAGAGAGATCTGGGAAGCTAAAACCCTCCATATGTCTTTCAAGGTTGGTTATTTCCTGAGACCTTTCTAAACACACACACACACACACACACACACACACACACACACACACACACACACCTCATAAAGTCCCCACTCCCTGCATTGTCTTCTGTTCTACTTTGGGATTTGAGGGTGGAGGTTATGGCCTTCAGTTCTTGCTCTATCCCTGTTGTGGTTTTCAATGATCTCCCCTCACTGTGTTTGATCTCATAAAACCATATCTCTGTTCCATCATCAGTGGCCAGGAAAATAACAGGAAGAATAACTGCAATAGAACTGAACATTTTTCTCTGTGTGCCAGTTGGCTGAGAATATGTGGAATCTGGAGAACTTTCCTCATCATTATATATTTTCATCTTTCTCTGCTTATCTGGCAAAGCCAAGGGAAATATTAGACAAAGACCCTCCAACCAAGAAACTTTATTGACAAGGGACACATCAGGAAGTGGACCCACCAGGCAAAGGACTTTCCCGTGAAGAGACTCTCCCGGCAAGATTCTCACCAGCCAAGAGATTGTTGAGCCAATCTTATTCATTGCTCACCCAAAGGGGATCACCACAGAGTAGTGGATTTATGTGCTCCCCTCCCCACCCTGCTTTAGCTCCTTACAATGGGATTTCATTACAGAGGAAATCTTGAAAATTTTGAACCAAGAAATTCTAAGAGGGACCTGCTGGTTTGTAGACTGTGTGTGTGTGTGTGTGTGTGTGTGTGTGTGTGTGTGTGTGTGAGAGAGAGAGAGAGAGAGAGAGAGAGAGAGAGAGAGAGAGAGAGAGAGAAATATATGTGTTTTTCATGTAGGTAAGTACATGGCTGTGTATTTGCAAGACTGCATGTGGGCTCAGTTTTTTTTTTTTTAATCCTTACCTGAGGATATTTTTCCATTTTTTTAGAGAGAGGGAAAAACAGAGAGAAATATCAATGTCAGAGAAACACATCGATTGGTTGCCTTCTGCATGCTCCCCACCAGGGCCCTGGCTGGAAAGGTCCTGCAACCGAGGTATGTGCCCTTGACTGGAATTGAACCCGGGACTCTTCGGTCCACAGGCTAACACTCTATCCACTGAGCCAAACCAGCTAAGGCTGTGGGGCTCAGTTTTGATGGCCTGTGATATTATTTGGAACTATAAAGGCAAGAACACATGGAGGATATTCTGATTCTTGGCATTGCCCTACTCAGCCCCCACTTCCAGTGCCCACCCTCCGTCATTGAGGGTCAATGACTTCCCAGGAGACAAAGGGAACAGGTGAGTTCATCAACATATCACATACACACAAGGACATACACACAATTTCATATGACTTGTTTTTATCTGACATTCCCTGGGGCCTACTCTGTTCCAGATACACCCCTGCCATGCTCAGAGCCCACACGATCTCAGCCTAGCCCCTTTCTCTCTAGACACAAAGTTTCCAGACTCTGTACCCATAAGGAGAGTGGAAACTTGAAGCATCCCATTCTCCATCCTGCTCAGGGAAGCCAAAGAACCTCAAAAATGTAAATAAGAACATATCCCTCTCCAGTTGATATCTTCCAACATGTTCCCACAGTACTTGGAATAAAATCAAATCCCCACTCAGGCATTCAGGCTCTGCCTGGTCTGTTCCCACCCTTCTGTCCCCTTTCCTCCTGCCTTACCAAATTCTAGCCATACTGCCCTGGAAGAAGGCAAATTCCTTCCCACTCACAGTGCCTTTGCCCTTGTTGTTCCTCTTGCATGGAACTTCCACCCTCCACCTAGTCTTCTCACACTGAATTTATCCTTAGCTCAAATGTGTTCTCCTCAAAGAAACCTTCCCTGACCCTCTACCTCCCTCTCCTTTGCTGTACTAGTTATGGCCCTTGGTCACTTCTGAAATCATCTCATTTATTTATTTTATTGTTTTTTCTCTGACTATGCCATGGACTGTAACTCTAAGAGAGCCATGGTCTTGTCTGTCTGGGTCATCTCTTGGCCCAATCCAGTACAGACAGGGCCTGGTGTACAGTAGTCTCATTAGGTGCTCATGTAAAAAGGATGAGTAAGCCCGGCCGCAGTGCCTCAGTGGTTGAGCATTGACCTATGAACCAGGAGGTCACAGTTTGATTCGGGGTCTGGGCACATGCCCGAGTTGCTGGCTTGATCCCCTATAGGGGGCATGCAGGAGACAGCCAATCAATGATTCTCTCTCATCATTGATGTTTTTATCTCTTTCTCCTTCTTTCTTCCCCTCTGGGAAAAAAGAAAGAAAGAAAGAATAAATCCTATCCTCTGCACTCATGAAACCAATCAGGAATCAGTCAGGAATATACTGCCTGTACCTGAGGCCAATCACAGTATATAGTCCAATTATTTTTAATGTTTTTACTGCTTGTGCTTGTGACATTATATCTAAGAAATCATTGCTAACTCAAAATCATGAAGATTTGCCCCTTTGTTTTCTTCTAAGAGCTTCGTAGTTTCACCTTTTACATCTATGATCTATTTTGAGTTAATGTTTGTGTAGGTTAATTTTTGAGGCAAGGGTCTGCTGGGGCTGTCCAGCAGACCCTGAGTGATGGATGAATGATTACTCTGACACATGTTTCTGTGAAAAAGAGGGCTAAGGGATGCTTGGCTTGAGAAACCAAACAGCCCTGTTCACCTGACTCCTTAGGTTTTTATTGTAATAACAGCTTGAACTAAAATTAACTATGAGATACTACCAGCAGGGTAAGTATCCTTGAGAAGACACATGCATCTGCAGTGTCCTTTAAGCAAGGAAGTCTAAAGACTAAACATAAAGATTCCAGTAAAACACCCGGGGGCTTAGAAAAGTCAAGGCAGGGGCTGCTGCCTTAGGCAAGGTCCCACTAGAGGCCCCTGACCTTTCGGAGATTCCTTCTTACAAACTTTCTAACCAAGTCCTGTGCTTCCCACATCTTCCCCCTCCCCCCTTTTTTTATTTTGTTGGATGCAAAAGACAGAGGGAGGCAGTGAACTTTCTGCTTTGGAATATTGAGATCCGAGAAGCGCATCCACTGCTTGAGTTTGTAGACTATAAGAAAAATAAAAGGATTACAATGACAGTAATGGTTAGTCCAATCAAGAAGACAGGGTGCTTACAAGTATCAAATCCTTCCCTCTAGCAACATGTAGGAGACAGGATTATAAAGGGGAGGGGATTAGGGTGAGGAATATAGCTATGTGCAGGCCTGGGGGTCCGCAGATGTCAGTTATTATAATTAGTCATCAGGTGATGAGATGATGTTGCTGAGATGATGTGTTGACTCCTGGTGGCTCAGTCTGACTGGCCATGCTTATCGGTTCTGCTTGCTGGGTTCACAGCTGAGTCACCTCCCCAATCTCTTCACCAGGCCTTGAAAAGGAAACTTTAAGAAAAACTTAAACCTCCTATTCACATATGAGAAACTTAGCCCCCTCTTCACATAAGTATATATGTTCTAAGATTTAAAATAATATGATTACTTTTAGATTAATTTAGGTGCTCTATCTATTAGGTTATAAGTCCCTCTTATTATTCCCCTTCTGATTAGATAGATTGGTTGATATCTATCAACCTTATACTATAGTAGTAAATTCCTTTTAAGATTTCTCTTTATAACCCTTCTATGACTTTGTAAACATTCTTATAACTTTAGCTCTTTTTTCCTTCAAAATACATCTCCATGCTTCATGCCTTCTATTAAGTATTCCTACTCTAATATCTTTTCTTCCTATTATATCCCTTTCCACTATTTTTATTCCTCAACTCTAATTCTTCACAGACTCTCTGCAACTTACCTAGTCCCTTTCAGTTTTGTTAATTCACTTTTCCCCCTTTATCTGTATACATTAAAACTATAAATTTCTTCCAATTAGTTATGATTAAAGGTCAGTCTACACAGGTTCCTCCATTGCCAGCTTCAGAGCAGCTGGAGTGGTGAGAAGCACGTCTCAGGGTCCCTTCTATTTCTCCTCCAGTTGGTCCATCGTCCTTGCTCTGCTCATGTCTGTCTAACTGCCTAGCACATCCCCTCAGGGAGCTTGGCTCTGAATTCTTTCAGGGAAAGAGGACACCAGATTTCTTCGGAAACTGCTTTCTGCTGATGGGAGGTTGAAGGTTTCTCTCAGAACCAAGAGATCCTTGCTCTCTGTCAGAGGGACGATGAGGCCTGGGTACAGAAGGAGGTGGCAATGGTGCCTAGAAGTGGTATTCCTTAGGTGCGAGTAGGGCTCATAACCTTGTGGAGATAAATTGTGCTATAAAATTTAGTTTTATTGGGCAAAAATTAGAACAGTAAGAATTATGATAAACTAGAGGCCTGGTGCATGAATTTGTGCATAGGTGGGGTCGCTTGGGGTGGCCTGCAGGTATCGGGCTCCAGCTCGTGTCCCCAGGCTCGCAGCCCCAGCTTGCATCCCCAGCCCTGCAGCCCTGCCTAGCACCCCACCATGGCCTGGCACTGCCCCCTCACCTGCTCCACCATCCAACCTGTGGGGCGATTGATCGGGGCAGGGCCCCCCACCTGGCTCCCTCAGTGCCTGGGAGCCAGGCGGCCACCCTGCCCCCCGCCACTGCTGCTGGTCGCCATCTGCGGAGCGGTAAGCGGGGCGATCAGGCCTTG